GCAGCACCAAGGTCCCTGCAGCGTCACCAGCTCCAAGGGGACCCTCCTGCAYGTTGATGCATCCCGGGGCATTTGGGCAGGGCTGGCTGCAATGACGCAGCTGCAGTGATGCCCTGGAGTGCCGGGTGCCTCCGCGGGCGCTGATCCTCGCCCAGCTCCTTGCCCGGATCAGCATGAGCTCCGCTCTCCCAGGGCAGCGATTAGCGGGAGGGGAGCACGGGGCCGCACGGCTCCATCCTCCCGCTCCGCCTCCCGCCGCCCCTTCCCGCAGCGGGACACGGAGGGGCCGTGGGGCCGGCGCCGCGGGCAGCCCGGGCGCAATGTGGGTCACCGCGCGCCGGCCCTTGCGTAACGGCGCCGACCCCGCGCCGCCCGCCGGGACGTGCCGGGCGGTGAGCGCCGCCGCTGCCCCCCCGCTCCTCTGCGCTCCCCGGGGCTCCCGACAGGCCCCGCGCTCGGACACGGCCCCGCGGGACCCCGGCGCGGCCTCCCAGAGCCGCCGGCCCCACACGCAGCCCCCGGGGCTCCCCAGTCTGCACGGGCACCCCCACAGCTGCTTGTGCCCCCGAGCAGCCCGCGCGACTCCGGCTGGGCACCTGCTCCGGGGTGCGTGTCCCGCGGCAAGGAGATTCCCTCGGGAATCGCCCGGCGCCGCCCTGGAGAGCCCAGGCTGCCCGCAGAGCCTGAGCCGCCCTCGCCCACTCCCGTSCTCGCCCTGCTCTCGCCCTCCGTGCCATCCAACCACCCACCAGATATTTGCAGAGGGCGACTGCGCCCTCCTGCCCTCCTCTCCCTGCCCGTCGCGTCGGCTGCTCCTCAGCTCCTCTTGCAGCCCCTTTGCCAGCGCCGCGGTGTCCTGAGGTGCCGAGCACGGGGCTGCTTCTCCAAGGGTTTTCTCCCTCGAGCATCCAAGCAGCAGGCCCTGGAACGACGCAGCGGGTGCAGGGAGCGATGTTGCTTCACGGTGCCCTCGGCTGATGAATAAGGCCCCTTGCCCAGCACCAGCCCCCGGGCTGGAGGGGCGATGCTGCCCAGGAGCTGGGAGGGTCCCGGCCCCGGGTGCTGGGGGCAACGCGGGCGCTGCCGACGCTTCCCAGCCCAAAGCCGGGGCTTTGGCACGGACCCAGCACAACCTGCGCACACGGGTTTATTGCGGGTTTATTGTGCGTTTATTGCAGGTTTATTGCAGGTTTATTTATCACGATGCCACCATCGCACGAGCCCGCAGCAAGCTGAGCACAGCTGCAGATAAAAGTCCCTTCTTGTCCCCAGCTCCTTTCTGGCAAATCCTTTCTGGCCCGCTCTTGGCTGGGGAGCCAGCGCTCGCAGAGAGACGGCTGGGAGGCGAGCAGCAAGGCAGAGGAGTCAGCACCCATGTCCCCTGCCCGACAGGGGCTCTTTAAAGCTCCTGGCTGAAAAGCTCATTGATTTTCTTTAAAAAAAAAAAAAAAAAAAAAGGTTTTGCAAGAGAATCTTGTTCTCCAGAAGCGTGTCCGCCCCCGAGCCCGTTTCCCCTGGGAGCCGCCGGTGAGCGGCAGGGAGGGCTGAGCCGGCGCAGGCGCCGTGTCCCATGGGGGCCAGCAGCGGCACCGGGGGGTTCGGCAGCACCAACCACCTGCGCCCGCAGCCCCGGGAGCCCCAAAAGCCGCTTGTGTCCCTGCAAGGAGGCTCCCCAGTGCCTCCTTGCAGCGCAGAGACACGGGGCCCTTGCAAGGAAGAGACCAGCGCTCCGGAGGTGACGGGCCCTTCAGTGCAGAGCACATAGCCCCACTGGGCTCTGCACCTGCACCCAGGCAGCCCCAAACCCTTCCGAGATGTTCACGGCCACCCCTCGTTGCCAAGGAACTTCCCTGACATCCCCCGGCACCCAAGGAGTCCTCCTCAGCCCCTATCACAAAAGAGGAAGGTGCACAGACCTACAAATCATGAAGCCCATTAGGCCGCCTGGTCCTGTGGCAGTTTCCTTTGCAGCAAATTACTATTTCATAAATGCAGTAGACMTGAAATATGAAGACAGGAATTGCCGCCGACTTTTAATTTGGGCTCTGCCGATTTTTCTCTTCCAGCTATTGATTTTCCATAAAGATGACTCCTGACTCCTGGGTCTCTCTGACAGGCACTATCTTGAGTGTTTTGCTTACACCGAGGCTGGAAATATATGTTTTATTAAGTGTCAGAGCTCACTAATGAGAAGAAGGAGGAAAATCAATTGGCTACTTATATCTTGATCACAAAGACAGGACTAACAAGTTCTTTATTTTGCTGCTGAGGGCAGGACGACAGGGCAGAATGACAAAGGTGGCAGACAGCAGCTGCCAGCTCCCCTGAAGAGAGATCTTAGCTGACGAGAGGGGGAAAGGGAATATATGGTGTTTGACTGCTTCGAATGCATTTTTGTTTGCATTAATTCAAAGGGATTCATGGAGTGCTATAAAATCCTATAGCTAAATTGGTGCATGATGCAAGGCTACTGAAAACAGCCAAATCGCAGCTGCAGATGGAAGCAGGTTTAGGCTTATATTCCCCAAATCCAGATGGTGGTTTGACATCTATTTAGGGTAGCAGTTGAAGGGGTTCTGGTTTTCCATGTTAGACCTGGGGTGAGGGTTGGCGTTTGGGAATTCTGGCTTGGTGCGAAGGTGACATCCCCATCCCACCAACCGTGAAGAGGGGCCGAGCCCAGGACGTGGTCCTTGCTGGGGCCCCACGTGTGCCCTGTTTCCATCCTCACCCTCATCCTCCGCAGCTCAGTGTGGGGACGGAGCGCTCGAGACCTGCTCCGAGATGAACACGCACTGCATCGGGAGCTGAGAGAAGCCCAGGCACCATCGCACGTTGGGACGGGAGGGTGCCCAGGGGACCGCGTGCAATGGGAGAGCTGTTTTACCCTCTTCCTTGGGCATCTGCCACAGTTGGAACAGGGGGTGAAGCTTGCGGGTCCCCCCGTGCAGCTCCTCTCCCGAAGTCCTCAGGCCACCAAGGCTCGGAGAAAAAGCCAGGTCTAATTCCCAACTCAAATCCCAGGATGTGAATCCACGGCGTGAGCATCTCAGCACATTAAATCCCCGCAGAAACCAGTTATTATTGAACTCATCCCTCTCCCGACCCTTCCCCGGGCGAGAGCAGCCCCGCTTTGCTCGTACGCCGTCCTCCCCGCCTGCTGCAGAGCCTGGTTAATCCCTCGGCAGCTCCGAAACGAGGCGGCGAGCGGCGGCCGCCTCGACRAGAGGCATCGATCCCGTGAAATGACAGCGGCTCGGCGCCCGTCCTGGCCCCCCGGCTACCATTCAATTAGAAAGGCTTAGCTGAGCCGCAGCTCAGGGCGGAGGTGAGAGCAATAAGGCTAAGCCTGGGCGCGAGGTTTAATCGCGGCGCGCGTTGAAGGGTCTCGGGATGCAGGACACATCCACGCGGCGAGCCGGGGCAATAAAACAGAGCCGGTGGCAAATAAATCCCTGGGAATTCATCAAATTCATTTTATTTTAATAAATCTGTTGTGTTTATTAAAGGGAGCGTGCTCGGCTCCGTGGAGCGGGCGCCGTAAGGAGGATGAGGGGTTGAAGAGAGCAAGACTGGGCCATGGCGGCCAGGCCCAGCGCAGCTCTGCGGGACGAGGCTTTGCCCCTGGAGAAGGGAAGGTCCCGCCAGGGAGCCCGGGAGGTTCCGTGGCRGTTCCGGAATGCTCCGAGCTTTCCCGGCGGGAATGACGCCCGTCCCGTGTCCCGTCCAGCCCAAGGGGGCCAGGCCGGTGTCCCGGCTCCAGGCCGCGGGATTGGCTGGAACCGTGGTTGCCATGGCAACCGGCACGGCCTGCGCCGGAACCAGAACCGGCACCCGGGCCGGCGGCAGGGCCGCCCTGCAGGCCCAAGGGCCCGGCGCTGCTGGGTCGGTCTGTGGAGGGGCCACAACCACCCCCAGCCCCACAGAAACCCGGCCTAGCAGCCCTTTCTGAGGCAAAAAAAMCCCAAATAGGTGAAAGACACCAAAAAGGACAAGCCCCATGAGGACACCCGCCCTCTCGTCCCCTCCAACACTCCAGAGTCTCCCAAAACCTCCCGGCCCGGAGCGGCCGCCYGCCTTGGTGCCACCGGCAGCACCCRCCATTATTTGGGTTTATTTGTTTGATTTTGTTGTGTTTTCCTCATCGCACCCATGGGGAGAGCRGGGAAATAAAAAAAGGTTGTTTTTCTTCATGTTGTTTTTAAGATGCCAGCTTGCTTCGGAAAAAAAAATAAAAATATATATATATATTTTCAAAACAAAACGGTTGTTGTGAGTGGGTTGATGTGAAYTGAGCCTCATTCCGAGGTCCCGGCGGCAGCGCCAGGAATTGCGGCGATTCCCGCTCCGGGGACATGAGCGGTGGCGCTGATGGGGGAAAAGCGGCGGCCGTCCCGCCGCGGCGTGATGACATAAACCGAGAGCAAAGAAAGGCAGAGCCRTGCATCACAGAAAACGTTGCCGGGCTGCCACTGTGCGCCGCCGCTGAAAACCCGCGCGCGTGTGGGAAAGGCTGGGATGAGGCTGCGGACAAGCCGGCCCCTGGGCTGAGCTGCACCGCCGAGGTGAGCGGGCAGCTCCGGAGATGGGGAAAACGGAACGGAATTGGGCACGGGGTGTCCCGGGAGAGCCGGGGGACACGGGATGGGGAGAAAACCTGCCAAGGGTGTCAGAAAGTGACTGGCGAGCTCTGTTAAAGGGAGGTCGGAGCCGGGAAACGGAGCGAGGGTCTCCCAAGGGAGGTGGCGGGAGCCCGGCTCATTGCTATGGATAAAACCAGGCTACACATGACATAAAACCCCAGGCACTTACATAGAAACATCCCTCTACTAACCAGCACTAGTCTAGCAGTCCTTTCCCATCTATATCTTTTTAAGTGAAGTTTTAATTGGGTGGAGGAGAGACAGCTGTGGCTACAGCTGCTTTTCCCTTGGTTCTTATTTTTATCATTGGGGCTTCTTTTCTTTCCTTTTTGTACAGCAACAGTGAGTTTTGGAATCATGGACACATATCTGAAGGACGTTGGGACCCGTTTGGAGAACGCGCTGCGCAGCTGCGGGGGGCACCCCGACAGCACCTGGAAGATGTACCTGGACAGGAGGAGCATCCTACTGACCTTCCTGCACACCAACCTGAGCCTCCACTTCCTCCGACGCCACCACAAGAGGGTGGAGCTGCTCAAGAAGAGCTCCTTCTACRTCGAGATTCTGCCCAAGCACTTGGCCCTGGGAGACCAGAGCCACCCGATGCACCCCATCAACATGTTCCAGCACGTGGACCCCTGGAGATTCCAGAGGATGAAGACAGTGGGAGCCACCCAGACGAAAATCCAGTTGCTGCTTTTAGAGGACCTGCTGGAGCAGCTGGGGCGAGGGCGCGAGGAGCTGCTCTGCTGCCTGAAGACCTGCGACGTGCTGACGTTCCTGTCCCGGTGGGACTGGATCCAGCAGAGGCTCTCGAACCTCTCCAAGATGCTAGACAGCTTCCTTGGCGCGCTGGTGCCTGGGAAGCTCCACCTCAAGCACCGCTTGGTGCCCGACGCCCAAGCTGCCAAAATCCCCCGCATCCGGCTCGTTCTCAGCACCAAGATGCCCGTGATGTTTGATCGGGACGAGTCGGTGGCATCCGAGGACCGGGCCATTCTCAGGTGGTTCAGCGCGAGCGAGCAGGAGCATCCGGAGCAGTACGAGCTCTCCTTCAGGCTCCTGGAGCTCGGGCTGCAGAAGGAGCGGGGCCACGGGGGCACTCTGACCATCACCTCCAACGGGTGCGAAATCCAGAACCTGCAGCCGGGCAGAGAGTACCACTTCACCATCAGGCGGGCCGAGACGTACGCGCTCGTCTACGAGCCGTGGCACGACAGCATCACCCTCAAAACGGGACCCAGCCCGGACCAAGACATGGGCGGCAGCCTCTGCGAGCCGGAAGGCTGAGGCCGCACACAAGGTTTTCTCGCTTTATCCATTTGAAAAAGTGGAAAGGGGAAAATTAAAGGAAAACCTTATTTTTAAGCATGTTGTGCGCGACACTGAGCTTGTTCTGTTTTCAGCAGCCAATTTACAAGCGCCCATCACAAACCTTTCTGGGTTAACAGTAACCCATTGCAGAGTTTGGCAGATAAAACCTCCTYGGGAAGGAACGAGGACTCGCTTCCCGTGGCGCCGAGGCAGCTCTTGCTTCCTTGAGCAGAACATCTCAGGTGCAAAAGCATCACCCAGTGCACCCCAACCCCACGAGACGGTCCACGCTGGCTTCTTGCAATGATTATTTTTACTCCCAAAAGTAGCTTTTTCCCCATCTCCTTCCACCAAAATACCTCACCCGAATCCCAAGCTCCTGCAATCGGTCACCCTCTCTTGAATGTCCCTTAACTGGTTCCTCTCACCCCATACACCCCATGCACTATAATTACTAATTACCTACTCACAATTTCATGCTCATCGCTTAAAAGCGCATGAAAAGTTCCCTGAAAAAGGGCCCTGCTGCACACACACACACACAGAGCAAACCCAGGCAATACATCCACAAAAGCAATATCTGGAATACAAACCTTTTCTACAAGCCACATGTTGCAGCTAACGCTCATTTTCTCTTTTACCCTTTAGTTCAGACCAAAAACATTTGTGTCCGCACAGACACTAATACTCACTGTCACATAAACAATCTTTTAGCAATAAATTTTATTATTTAAATAAATTCAAATCATTTCTTTTTCTTACAATTATGGCTTAAATATCAAAAAAAGGAATGTTGAGGTTCATTCTTACAAACACTAGAAGCACGTAAAAATAGTTGTATCCAAAACGCAGTTTGAGGTCTGCTGCAAGTCACGGGCATACAAAAGATAAAAACCTGCCACATTTCAAGTCCCTTGATTTACACTTCATGACACTTAACGTTTCATTTCTATGTTAAAAAAAATAAAATTATTGCAATAAATTGATCATCCTACCCAGATCTGTCCAAATTCTCTAAAAACATCCCTGGGGTTTCTCCYTTGGCACCTGAAGCCAAAGCCTTTTCCCAGCTCTGTATGTCTGTGATTTCCTGGCAAGCCGGAGCCGGGTRCAGGGCGATTCCTGCAGTCACAGGCTGGTCACAGCATTTGTGCAGCTTGCAGCCAGCGATTTCCTCCTGGAACGACCAAAGGATCTTTCCGTGGTTTTGCTGGGCTCTGCCTTAAAGGTTTCAGGAATATTTGCTCTCAAATAAAATTATTTCAAAAAGAAAAATTCAACGCTCTGCGTGCAAATGAAACCAGGCTCCTTTGAACTTCCTTTTTTCAGCCTTAGCTTCTATGGTCCTGTGATAAAGACGGGAACACGATATCCATAACCCACTACTCAGGCATCATTAACAGTCTATAAAACGTCCAGTTAATTGCACTTTCTGCTAGCCCTGACTATTGCAGCCCTGCAGTTACCTGTGCACGGCACAAGCAGCCCAGGCCCGGGGCCGTCCCTGCCCCTCGAGGCGAGTTAGGGCAGTATTCCCTAAACACGAGATAAAAATGCACCTTCAAACATCAATGTATTGTCTTGCGATGCAAAGCGACAAAGCATTTCACTCTCGGCTTCCCCTTCCAAGGGCAAAGGGAGGGCAGATCTGCTTCTTGCTCCACACAAACCCGTGGCCAAGCCCCACGCACAGGTACTGGACTGAGCCACTAATCCCCAGGAGAGTCTCCTCGTTTATATACAATGCGATGATAAAAAAAAAAAAGCATAAAAAACACAGCAACTGCATTTCCCTCTGGTGAGGAAAGTGGGTCCCACTGGTTGCTGTGGAGCAGGACGTGTGCGTTACGTGCTGACTGCTGCAATATTTACGTGAAGGACGTTTGCACCTYCTGCACTCTGCAGCCCGCCTCCGAGATCACTGCACAGAAGGACTCCCATCCAAGGGTATTTTGGAATTGCAGTGCTATTTTAAAAAGAATAAGGCTGGTGTGAAGTCCTTCAGATTCAGAAATGGCTTCGCGGGGGGAACAAGGAACATTTGACTTTAATCTTACCAGCTTCTCTGGAGCGTCTTTGGAGGCAGCAGAGGTTCTGCCTGCAGGCTCGTGTCCCAGGTGGGATTTCAAGCTATATGCTAGTTATTACGCTTCAGGAACATAAGAGCAAGCCTGGGTAGTCTCTGGCGTACAGATCAAATCCATCAAATGTACAGGTGCAGGAAGGCAGCTTAAAATAGAGTGGAACAAATCTTCTCCATAGGTTCTTGAGTCTAGTTTAACTCAATCAGAGCATGGAAAGGGACACAGGATTCCTAATGGATCTTCCCAGACACAGCGCTTTCTTATTGCACGGTCCTTCACGTTGGGAAAATGGCCCTGCTGCATCCCTAGTGCAAACACAGCACCAAATTCATCCCTGCCACGACACCGCCGAGTCCTGGGCACCCATCATTTACGCCAGGGATGATTCTTGTCYCAGCACAACATCCATTTGGTGGGAAAAAAAAAAAAAGGAAAAAAAGGTGAAAAAAAAAGAAAAAAAGCCGTGATTGCATTTTGGCGTGGGCCCAGAGCCAGTCCCGGTGGCGGGGAGAGCTGAGGCAGGCACTTCATACATTCGGAACTGGGACGAGCTGAAAGGCGCGTCCCCGACACCGCCGCGCTGCGCGGAGCAGCTCCGGGTCCCGCTGCCCGCGCGGAGCAGCGGGGCGCCAAGGGCAAGCGCAGCCGACCCAGGGAACCACCACCTCCATTCACAGCAGTTTGGTTGCTTAAAATAAAGATAAAAACCCCATTATACACATACATGGCGCGATACGTGATTATCAAGTTTCCAGCGCTGCTCTGAAAAAGCTCAGGCCACCAACTGTGAGACAAAGTTCACAAAGTTAAAAGTTAATAAATTAGAAGCAGCTTTACAAAAATAGGGGTTAAGAAAAGGGTTTCTTACAGGAGGAGAAAAAATCAAATAAACCTCGGAACAGTTTCAAATACACTTACAAATTTCAAAGCTTCCTGGCAGGAGCAGTTCCCAGCTTTCATTAACATTATATGGTGAGGATAACTTCTTTTGTACAAAGGATAAGCAGATGTATTTACAAACTCAACTTGGCCTTGGCTCATAATATTTACACCATATTGTCTCAAGACTGTTCCATGTTTTCCTTCTCGCTTTCTTCATTAAAAAAAAATAAAAAGCTTTTCTGCTTTGAGAAATAAGCAGGCTTTAAAATTCCCTGGCCTTGGGTTTAAAATGAGCGGTAAAACTCCGAAGCTTTGGTCCTGGGTGGCAAATCACAGCTTGCCTTGCAGATGAGTCGAGCGCAGTCACTGAGATTGATGAGCGGAATGTGGCTTTGGTCCCCAACAAAAGCTGCACACAGGGACGGGACGGCGGCTCCGCTGAGCATCTCGCCATTAAAAAAATGCCAATATCACCGATGAAGCCACAAGCCCGTCTGTCCGTCCGTCCATCCATCCATCCATCCATCCATCCATCCATCCATCCATCCATGCCTCCATTCATGCATCCATCCATCCATGCATCCATCCATCCATGCATCCATGCATGCATCCATGCATGCATCCATGCATCCATGCATCCATCCATCCATTCCCGTGGCTTTTTGGTTCGCTAGAGCTGCAAGGTCCTGTCCAAAGGCTCACTGCTGGAAAACCCGGAGGGAAACCCGAAGCGCAGGCTGCAGCTGGAGGACACGTCCGCGTCCCTCGTGCCGCCTTCTGCTCCACGTCCCAATGGTGGCAAGAGGGCATCGTTCCGCAAGGCACACGCAGCGTGTCCGGGCACAGAGGGGCTCGCCGAGGTGTAATCCGTTCCTACCGGCGCACGGCTGGAGTCTTCCTGACGCAAATAGCTCGCGCTGTGGTATAGGAGTTGTGCTTTATGTAATGCTGAAGCAGCCTCCTCCACAGAGGGTTGCATTCCAGGAGGTAACGGTTTCCTGGAGATACAGGGAAGGGGACAGGGGGTTAGTGGCCACAAAAGGCTCGTACGACTCCATCAGAGCTGGAGCAGAGATATCTGGTCAGCAGTTATAGCCTCATGGTGCTGGATAACTCGCACGGCTCCTCTCCGAGCGCTGCTCTGTTTGCTGCCCACGTTACCCACCTATAATGCAGAGTCCTTCCTGAGCTCGGGTGATGCCCACATTGACCTGGTTTGGGTCAGTGACAAACCCCAGGAACTTCTTCTGCCAGCTTTTCGTGGGTTTTAGGTCAATCTCCGCGCGCGGACAGGAGCGCACAGTCGACATGATCACGTATCTCCACTCACTTCCTGGAAAGAAGGAATGGGAAAAGGGGGTTCACAAAGGAGCGTGTGACGGCGTCACTCGTTTCTGCACCACAACCCCCACAGAACAGCAAGCCATGGTTCAGGTTCCTCCAGCCCTGGAGGCTCTTTGACTCCAGGTTACTGCTCTCCACGTTATTGCGGCAGTTCTCTAGTACCCCCTTCAGATGCCCTTCGTATTGAAGCTACCTCTCTATTTCCATCGCTCTCTCCCTGCCTGAGCATTCCAAAGGCTTCCAAGGGATTCATTATGACCACAAATCGCCTGGAAATGTGGCCCGGCGACGCCTGCTGCACGGCTGAACGTCCCCGGCACCACATTTCCTTGTGTCAGGGATAAATTTCCTTGTGTTTGGGATAAATTTCCTTGCGTTTGGCATAAATCTCCTTGTGTTTGGGACAAATCGCTCTAATCCCCGGGCAGAGGGCCGACCCTTCGCTCCCCGCGGGCCCCACCTTGGCTCTTCATGACAGTGCACACGGTGACGCCGCGGACGCCCTCCTTCAGCAGCCGCTTGTTGATCTCGGACACCTGCGCGTTGTAGGGGCTCAGCACGGCGATGCTCTCYGGCCGGATGGTGCCATCTAGCGTCAGCTGCTTCGCCAGCCTCACCTGGGGACACGGAGTCCTGCTCATGGGGGAACCCACACCCGCACCCACAACAGCCCCCCGAAGGGCGAAGGACACGGGGGGCTACGCCAAGACCCTTCTGCTGGCCTCTGCTCACCGCCTGCTCCACTTCTTCTGGGTTAGCTTTGGAGTTCTCGTTTCCCTCTTCGGTGGACACCATGAGGCTCTGCTCCTTCCCCTCTATGTGCCCGAAGATGATGGGGCAGCACTTGTTGTCTCGGTGGCAGAAGACGCTGGCCTCACGGAGAAGCAAAGGGCACGTTTTGAGGTGCTTCTCATAAAACTCCTGGGATGGGAACTTGCAAATGTCTTTGTGCTGGTGGAGAAAAGGGGAGAAACTGAGATGACCAAACAAACACACGGAACTCGTCCACTCTCAGCTGCTTTTTGGGTAGGTTTCCCCAAACATGACTCTGCTCTACCTTGCCCCGCACAAGATGGATGGGCTCATTACCCCAGGAAGGGCAAGTGCTTGGGGAGAATGCTTCTCATTCTTGTCTTGTCTTGTCTTGTCTTGAGACAAGCCCTGAGAGCATCATTTACTGTGACGGAGAAAGAGCACCCAAGAAAAGCCTCACCATGCGGTACTGCGTGTCCAGCATCCAAGCCTGATTCCGGTAGCGCTCAAAGAGAGACATCTCCATGCCAAGACTCTTGCAGACATCGTTGTTGACCACGGGACGCAGCTGCTTATGATCTCCAAGCAAAACAACCTGGAACAGAGTAGATTCCTCAGCCCTGGGAGCAACGGCACGGGTGAACACTGATATATCATTACAGGTGCTATCAGCAACAACCTAAATGGTCTAAAGTTGGACGAGCAGGACAGTGAGAGGTGGAACGTGGGTGTAGGCTCAAGAGCTCCGAGCAACTGCCCCCGACATGCATCTTTGGAAGGCGCTCACCTTTTCCGCATACTTATGGCTGACCAAGGGGATGAGGGTCTCGGGCTCTGTGGACATGGCACACTCGTCTATGAGGATCTGCCTGATGTTCAGCTTCTCCAGGCACGCRGAGGACGCGGCGGAGCACGTGCACAGGATCACGTCGTGCCGCGCGAGCTCGTGCCCACGGGCAGCTGACAACGTATTTTTGTACCTGGTGGGCAACGCAAGGACAGCAGGTCATGCACATGGGAAACACCTCCGGGTTTCGAGTGCAGGAACCAGTCTGGAATGAACTAGAAACCCCATGAGTTTCATGGAGCTCTAAGAGAGCTCTACCTGGAAACTGCAGCCCAAACTAGTTCTTATCAGGGAAGACTGTTGCCCTCTGCTGCTTTGGGCAGCACTTCTTTAATGGTGGGATACCATTAAATGGTGGGATGGCCATAAGGGGCCATCTCTCACCAGGGTCTCTTTCTACTCACCGTTTGATCTCTTCTTCTGATATCTCATCTCCTCTCCTCACCCGTTCATCAAAATCACAGATCTCCTTCCAAAACGGGTTGGGTGGCCGTCGGATCCGATGATGCAGGATTATTTCACTGAATAAAGAGTCATTTTTTTTGCTTTTACTTGACATACTTTCCACACAGAGACCCAAATTATCTCCTCTACACTGCAGTACACAACCCCTGTCTATGTGCAAAAACTAATTTGGCTACAAAAAAGTCACAGACATTTCCATCTTGATAGGCCTTAGGCTTAGCTGAGGGTACAAAACATACCATCTTCTTTTTCTTAAAACAGTTACTAGTAAAGAAGTAATGAAGAGATTTTTAGAGCTGTTTCAAAGAAAGATGAAAACATGTAGGATGTTTTCAACAGTCTGGGTACCGTGGTCAAGTGCTATGTTAGAATATATACTTTCTTATTAATAAAAATAAGCCCAGGTCTGCCACAACCAACCGGAGCAGGACTCTGCTCCATCATCTCCCAGAGACACCAGCACTGCTCCACAGAGCCCGTGGTGCCCCAAACTCCTACCTGAGCTCATGCTTCGGTTTTGCATCCCGCAAGATTTTGCGGGAGAAGTGCCGGTTGCTCCCTGGGTACGGGTATTCCAGTGTCTCAATTGCCTCACCATAAACCCTCAAGGGTCTCAGCTCCTTCATCTTCATCAGCAGCTCTGGGGAAGGAGAACAGATCTGTTAAGACAATACCAGAAACCCAGCGCTCTGCTCGAGATGCCCAATGTTCACCACACACCAGCCCTTCCTCCCCACCGCCTGCTCATCAACCCCAACCTCAGTTGTCCACTCCCTTCAGTGATGGGTCTGCTCCCGACATCAGGCTAAGCTTTTTGCCACTCCTGCCTCCCAGCTTCCTAATCACAGGCACTTGTTCCCCCTGCTTTAAGCTCCCTTAGAGACTTAGAACATATAATTACCAGCAACAACATCCACAGACTTGTTGGATGGGCCACAGTACAAGATATACTTGTTGCCTTTGTCCTCTTCATCCAAGCGCTGTGGTTTCTCCTTCTCAATGGTCTCCTGGTTCAGCTCATGGAACCAGTAGACAATGTGACTTCCAACAACCGTTTTCCCTGTGCCTAAGAAAGAAGGTTGAGGAGACTTTAATGACTGCCCTGCCCCCTTGGTCTAGTTCAACGTCCAACGTTGAGATTCCAGAATCCAGGAGATAGCCTTGAACAGTTGTGTGTGATGCCAACTCACTTTGCCTTCCCCTCTCTCATCAAGGGTCTCAAGGATATCAGAGTTATCCCACTCTCCTCCCAGAAAAGCAACAGACTAGTTCTCACCTGCTTGAACAACAAGTGACATGGACAGGTGCCCTCCCCTCCTCCTCACCTGGTGGCCCTTGGATGAGCGTGAAGGATTTCTTCAGAGCATTTAGAATTGCCTGGTTCTGACTCTGGTTGAGCTTCCTTTGACTTCCCGGGAGATCAAAGGTTTTTTGCGCCAAGAGTCTGGATGTTATCACTGTTTTGGTAAAAGGACAAGAAAGGAATTGTAAAGAATGGTACTGAAGGGAGCACCCAGACAGCTCAACGGGAGGAGGCAGCGGGTACCCACCATCGTRCCCCAATTACAAGACCTCTCAGGTGCAACCTTTGTCTCATGACAGTAAGTTCTGCCCAAAAAAACCTTCTCTGTGAGACCAGGAGATGAAAACACCCCCTGCCTCAGGCTCCAGCATGGCAGCCTGCACCCGCTTCATCTTTTAATCTTTATTCTGGCTGCGTTATAGCATCTCCCCAGCCCTTGCCGGGGAACCTCCTAGCTAAAGAGGAGTGTGAGCTCTGCAGCGTGATCCCCACGCCAATGACCCTTCCTGGCCAGAGGCAAGTAGCCATAGTGAAAATAAATAAATAGGATTTGTTCCTACCTTTTTTAGGAGGATTGTGGTTTAGTGCGATGCTTTTGGCAAGGTCGGAGGCATACTTGAGCTTCCAAATTGCATTTTCTTTTCGTCTGATGGACAGGGAAAAAAAAAAAAAAGAATGAATGAAATGTGGCGCTAAAAAAAAAAAAATAATATTACACAATTCTATAGGCAATTGTTATATTTATTCTCTCTCTGCTTTGGTCTTGCATCAAATCCTTTCCCAAAGAGCTTAAAACAATTTGCATATGTGTCTTATTCTGCTGCTTCATATCCGTGACTATTTCTCAACCGTGTGAGGAGCTGAGCCTGCAGACACGCTGTGAGTGAGGAGCACAACTTGAGTCCCAACTCCATTTCATTATGTCTGCACTCCCTTTCATTGGAYTAGTTTCCATTTTTTCCCAAAATTCAAGACACAAAGGGAACCAGACGCTGCCCTGAGGAAAGCCACRGCAATTAGGGGGCAATTCTCGGTCCATACCGAGCACAAAGAAAGGCAAAATAGACATCAGCTCTAATAGCAGCAGATCATGCTCCAGAGCAACAACAAAGGAAAACGAAGGGGAAGGGAAATGTGGGAATACCTGCCTGGCAAAACCCCCGAGCGGGGTTTCACACTGCCTTCTATGACTCATATTGCAGCAATTCACTAGCATAAAAGCAGAAGTCCTGTGCAACTCCAGCACGGCCCCTTGTCACCCCATTCTCAAGGTCTTCCAGGAGAGCATGAAGGCATCTGCAGAAATGCAGCAATCCCCACGGAACGCCCATGCCCCAGCAGCATAAGCTGCCCAGAAGCTCGATAAAGACATATTTTCAGAGGATCGCCCATACCGCGGAGCAGAACTCATTGGGTTCGGCAGAGAAGGTTTGTGAAGCTGTTACCCTGTTGGGACCAAAAGGTTAAGTGCAGAACTAATGCTAAGAACACTTACACATCGGGCAGCATCTTTGGAATGAGCTCCACCGTGAACCTGGCAGACTCCAGTGAGATTTCCAGGGGAATGTTCTCCATAGACATATTGTGGATGTAAAAATTCAAGGTCCTCACGCTACTGCGGTCCGATTTCTCCTCGTCGCTGGCCTCTTCCATGAGCCCATGCGCCACCCAGGTGTACGTATCCGGATCGAGCACCAGCTTGCTCTCCGGCCTGTCCTTGTGAAAGAAAGTCAGGTTCTGGAGGCCGTGGCTGAGACATTCCTCATCGCTCTCAAAGCCCTCGAGGTCCAGCCCACTCAAGCGAATGCACAGGTAGCAGTGGTTGAAGTCCACCTCAATGCAGCAGTCTTTCAGAAAGCTTTTGGCCAGCGAGAAGGTCCCTTGCAGTTGCCCTTTGCCCGTTCTTTGCTTCGCCCAGGTTATTTTGACGTGGTGGAGGATGATGGAGTCATTTTCGGCCACGGCGCACGAGGCCGACTCCATGGCGCTCATCGGCATCCACACCTTGTTATACTCCACCGCGCTCTTGTACTTCTCCTTGGAGGACTGAAGGGCGTACTCAGAGAAGCAGTCGATGGGCTTCTCCGTGTGCTGCAGGCAGATGTCAAAGCCCGGCGTGACAGACCACAGCTGCACGAAGGGCACCAGGAAGCCGCGGTACACGTCCGTGGTGAGCTGGAAGTGCAGCGCGTCGCCCGCCTGCAGCTCCAGCGACAGCTCCACGTAGTGCGAGCAGGAGCTTCTCCTGAGCCAGCCCACCCGCCGCCTGCCGCGGTCCTCCCCGCTGCGGAGCAGGGGAGCCACGTTCTCAAACTGCTCCCTTCTGATGGCCAACAGCACGTGCTGCCAAACTTCGGCATCGAAGAGGGTGATGCTTTGGTCGTAGAGAGGTCCCTCCTTCAGGCCGTGCTCCTTCTTCTGCTCCACCGAATAGACCCTCCTCTTCCACAGGAGCCTCATGCTGTTCTGCTCCTCGTTGAACAYGGGCTGCTCTACCAGCTGAAGAGCCCTGTAGTTAATTAGCTGGGGATCAGGAAGAGTCTCTCTGTTCAGCGGAAACAAGGCCTTGAAGTGCTTGTTCATGGCTTCGATATCCACCACAAAGGCGACCTTCTGCAGGACTTGCAGCTTGAGCTGAGTGGCCATCTGCAGAGAGCGGGCCCTCTTCTCGTACATCACGGCCCGGGAATTCTTCCTGTTGAAGTCGTGACAGAGAAACTCAATGTCCTCCAAAGAATAGGCCACGGGCTTCTTGCAGAGCACGGAACGCAGGTGCCGCTGCAGCACCACGTCCATGTAGCGGCGGATGGGAGAGGAGGCCCAGGTGTAGGAGTCGACGTGCAAGGAGTAATGGCCCGATTTGGACTGGGGGCTGGAGTTGGAGCGGCAGAAATACGAGCGGCCCAGCAGCCTCCTGAACTCGAGCGCCACGGGCGCCAGCTTCGGGTGGATGTCGTCCGTGACAATGAGGTCCAGCATCTTGTGCAGGTCGCAGTCCTCAGCAGCGGACTGCAGGTGCTCCCAAAGCGGGGTCAGGAGGCTGAACTTGGATTCTTTCAATGAGATTTGCCTGGGAGGCACCTCCTGGAGATGGTGTGAGAGGTGGATGGACAGAGGGATTATGTGGCTGTACTTGCTTCTCATGAGCGCGACCTGCTGCAGGTTGGGCTCGCTCTGACACCGGAGGGGAGTGACGCTTCTGGTGTCCTCCTGGTTGGTGAGGAACTCCGCCACAAAGCTGTTGAACATAATCATGAACTCCTCTATCATCTGATGGGAACCTCTGCTACCCGGGGAGCTTTCCTCATCCAGCTGGTCGTAGAAACAGTCCTCCTGCAGACGAAACTTCCTGTGGACCCTGGAGAAGTGATAGGCCACGGCCAAGCAGTCCTCCAGGGTATCAAAGCAGAGGTTCTCCGCACCTCCTTTGTAGCGGCTCTTAATGAGGAGCTCTGCCTCTTCGTAGGAGAGCTGCCGGTCCGAGCGGATCACGCACACCGTGAGGTTCCCCTTCATCATGGTATCCGTCTGCTTTTCCACGGTGACAAACAGCGAGATCACGCGGCGCTCCTCCCGCGGCAGGAGGCTGCAGATCTCCTGGCTAATCCGAGGTGGGAACATGCACAGCGGGTCCCGTTTGGGTGCATAGTAGGTGGCACCCCGTTTCTTCGCTTCTGCGTCCAAGGCACTGCCTTTGGGGATGATGCCGGCCACATCTGCGATGTGGATCCCAATCTCGTAATGCTCTCCAAGGTCCCGAACGCTGATAGCATCGTCTAAATCCTTAGCCCCTTGGGGGTCAACAGTGAAGGTCAGGTAGCTCCGACAGTCCTTCAGGTTTTCCTTGAGGACATTAGGTTTGCTGGAGGTGTATCTGGCTAATTCCTTGGTAACAGCAGCTGGATATTTATTTTCCAAACCATACTCCATATCAAGCACCTTTAGACCTTCTTCCAGGGTCAAGGCAATGTGCAGAATCTCAGTTATTATCCCCAGAGGGTAGTAAAAGCCCTCCCGCCAGGAGATGATCTGGACGCAGAAGAGCTGGCACCTCCTCGTGCTCTGGCCGATCCTCTCGCAGCTCACCACCCTGTACTTGCCGTTGACGAGCCTGCGGATGGGAATGGCATCCGGCTTCTCTCGCAGCCCGGGGACAAATATCTTGGTGACGGTGCGGTCGATGGGGATCATGACRCGGGGATCAAACTCATCCATCATGCAGATGAAGGTGCGCTCCCTCTCGGCACGCTTTAGGATGCCCACCACCTTCCCTTGCGGGCGGAGGCAGCCGCTCTCGGCCGTGTTGCTCTGCAGGAGCTCCACCAGCACCTCATCGCCCGTGAAGGCCGTCCCGCAGTGAACTCTGCCTTTGATCTGAATGCTCATSGGCGGGAAGTCATTGAGGGTGAAGGCAGAAGCTCTGTCAAACCCCTCCTTGATCAACTCGCACCTCTTGTACATTTTAGGGTGCATGTGGAGATACTCCTGCATCATCCGAGAGGAGAAGTTGACGTATTCCCGCTTATCGTCCTGCTGGTTTGAAACCTCAGTCTTCACGTTCAGCAGCCCTTCTTCAGACACCGTCACCAGGACGTTCTTGCTCTCATCCAACAGCTCCTGGAGAATGGGATCATCGGGGTTTATGCTCTCGGCCTCAGAGCTCCAGGAATCGCTGTCACTGTCCTCCTCRTCCCTGTCGGGGCTCCTCCTGCGCCAGCTCTCCTGGTCATAGGCAGCCTGTTTGATCTGCGCCATGGTCAGGTTCTCGGGCGTCGCGCTGCCCTTCTCGATGCACTCCTGGATGAAGTGCTTCCACACCTTGCTGCACTGGCCGTGCGAACACAGGGCCACGGCATCCCCCACCACAACCACCAGCGACTGAGCCCTCGTCATGATGGTGTTGAGCACTCTGGCCTCGTTGAAGAACTCCAGGTGGTGGGAGGCCGAGATGCGCAGGCTCTCGCTCGTGTGGACCGTGCTGATGATGATGACCCGAAACTCGCGCCCTGCGTGGGAGGGGACAAGGGACAAGTCAGTCACGGGGTCCCAAGGGGAAGACCCTGTCTGGCTGCCATGCATCTCTGCACTCCTACCCTGCCTTACGTGGTTGATAGAACCTCATTTGCCCGAGTCCCAGAAATCTATAGATTCTATAGAAAGCGGGACCCAGGGATCACGAGGATCTTCCTGGGTGAGCCTGGACACACACCATGGGGACACTGCTGTGCAAGCACCACGCAAGGGACAGAAGCATGCGGAAAGAGACAGGACAGGACAGGACAGGACAGGACAGGACAGGACAGGACAGCCAACTGGTGCAGCACTGAGCACTCATGGGCCCGCACTGCACTCACAGCACCACCAGCATTCCTCCCCAAACAAGGGGAGTCTTCTGTGAACCCCAAATTCCTGGGGGAAACGAGGATTTTGCGGGAACAAGAGCAGTGACCGTTCTCAAGGACAGCTCTGCTGGCTGATCACACTGGGAACAGCAAACAGCGAGAGCATCCTAGTGACTGCAGAGCTGAAAAGAGGCCGGGAGGAAGGGGTGTGGAGATCAGAAACACGCCCCAGCGGTCAGTTACTCTCGCCATGAGCCATCCCAGCTGTACAATAAAAATATATAAATAAATAAAAGCACCTATGAGTCATAAGCTAAGGCCYTGAAGACAAAAACAACCCCATCGCTCTCTCCTCATCAAGTGTGTTGGATTCCTTTAGCTGTTCTGCAGTTGGTACCCACAGGACGTCTTGGTTTGAATTCATTTTTATTATGAGCCTCCCTCACTGGCACCGGGGCCTTCACATGATTCACACATGCCCAAGTCTCTGGGATGCTTTAAGCGAGTGCTTTTCTGCTGGCACAAGCCAGGGTTACCCCAGATCAGTTCCCACTTACAGGGTTTTCACCCTCCTACAAAGTCACATCCATAAATTTTACCAAGTTGACAGTTGGGTAGAGAGATAGTTCAGTGTGAAACCCTATTCACTAAGCAAAGAATTCAAGTACCAAGCAGAACAGGATGGAAATCAGCCCGACGTGCTCCACACGTGCACTCCTAATCAACACGGACCTCAACATGGACCACAGCAGCTTGCTGCCAGCATCTGGAGCAGTGGGAAGGGTTGGGGAGCTCTGCCCAGCAGCATGACGTGCACTCACACGGAGTATTTTGCCCCGAGATCAAGAGGGATAGATACTTTGCATGGAAGTGCATGTATGGACACATGCTAGATGAGCTTCAAAAAGCTGGAGCACCCACGTATAAGGGATGTGCACAAGGGCACGTGGCCAGCAGCTGGAAAGCAGGCCCAGCAAAGAGAGCAGCCAGAAGAATCCCTCATGCTAGCCATGAGGAAGTGCACGCCAAGAGCCATTTCCTCAGTCTTCCTCACTAAAATGCCAAAGGGAGAGCTGATAAARGTTAAGATGTCAGAAGGACATCAGCTAATGACCCAGCGTCTGCTCCCACTGCCATTGCATCTAGCTGCAGCAGACCCTTCTGTCTACTGACACAACTGGAAAAGCTCTCCCTGGAGCACAGGAGACCTCCAGGCACCAACAACCACCGAACAAAGCACAAACCTGGCAAGTTTTCATAGTTTTCTACCATTATGTCTTGCAGGTGCTTCCTCCTCAGCTCTTGCCTGGTTGCAGAAACCTAGTAAGAAAGAGAGGGTCACAAACCCGAGGGCAGTTTCAGGTCCCCACTCACTCCCCAATCTCCAAGCTCCCCGCACCCTCAGCACTACAGACACGTCCTCCTCATCTTCAGGTTCCCCAGGAAAGTCACTGGACCGCATATTACATGTCCCGTGCTGATTTTGGTCTACCTTCCCAGGCTGACCTACAGCTAACCTGCTCAGAGGATGCCACAAGAAATCCTGAACTAAACCATCCCACCACGAGGCATCTCTGCTCTGACTCCCGTTCCATGATACTAAATGGATCATGCCTAGGAAAACACACCATTGGTATGAAAGATTCACAGGTTCTCCACCTCTGCAAGCAGGAGAGAGGTAGGTTTATCATAAAGAGAGCTCAGCTTCTCCTAGGAGCACCTAGAGAGTGTTGAGAGTGGTGCCTGCATATCCCCTTCCACCGAGGAACATGTGGTTCCCCCTACACACCTGCGTCCCATGGGAGACGACACAGATCTTCTTCATATTCTGGACACCCCACTCATCCGGCCACCTCTCCAATATCTCCTGCACTTTCTCAATCACTTGCGTTATCTCCGAGGTGTTATGCCAGGAGATCATGGACATGTCCCTTTCAGCTCTGCCGGGCACGTGGCAGAACATGAGGGGGTACATCTCCGGGTGGGGCAAGATGTTCCCACTGGCTTGGATGGCATTGCCTTTGCCCACGTAGAAGTGCTTGGAGACAAACTCAATTATGCCCGCGGTGGATCGATAATTCTCATTGAAGATGATCCTGCTCTTYGTGGCCACTTCATGTCTCTCCTTCTGGTAGAACTGGAAGAGCCGGTTTAACAGGGTGTGATCAGCRGACTGTCCATCCCTGACGCAGAACAGCTTCGGGGTTATCTGCATGTGGTCCCCAGCTAGGACAATCCGAGTCTCAAAAGTGGCGTACGAAAGGGGAACCAAAGCTTCGCACTCCAGCATCTGAGCAGCCTCGTCGATCATGATGTGAGTGAAGTAACCCGGGGGCACCTTCAGGTTCTTCGAGAGCATGGAGGTGGTTATGATGATGCGGTGCCTGTCAATCTCCTCTTTGGTGGGGTGCCTGAAGGAGTGCTGGTCCGCAGAAAGGCAGCAGTACATCTGAGTGATGGCATCTGTCATGCTGACGGGGCGGTCGGTGGAAATAATCCTCAAGGGAACGGCCCATGGGCGCCCCTTGGTCACATAGTTGTGGAAATACTCCCGGATGTAGATGTCAGCAGCACTGGACAGGAAGAAGAGGAGAAACCAGCACGTAATTTAAGTGTTGTTCTTATACAAGACCCTCACTCCAATGCACTATTTAATCATTCGTCAACAACGGGCCAAAATCACCCCCAGCTTTAGCTGACAGCTCTTCAAAAGGGGCATTCACATACGTGCAAAGTAGCCTGCATTTACACAGCCACCAATTCCGAGCATATTTTGGGAGTTYTGCTTAAAATAGGCATTGGTGCCAGGGGTCGATGAGCGGTGAGGTACCTGTCAATGCTCACGAGGAGCTGGCATTCCAAATGTGGCGTGTCCAGCAAAATATCTGGGCCTGCTCTAGGTGTCCCGGCTTGAGCAGGAAGGTTGGACTAGATGATCCCTAGAGGTCCCTTCCAACCTTAACCATTCTGGGATTCTGTGATCCGTAGGAGACCACGGGAGCTCACAGGAGATGGTAGGAGCTGCACACCAATGCGCAGTTCACCTCCCTTTTGACAGCTCATCTCGGGTGGATGGTGCAGGATGGACCCCGAGCAAGCGCCAGTGCAAGCAGGCAGCCTGCAGCCGGCTAAGATTAGAAGCTACCATTTATTATACATTAAAAACTAAGGCAAGAGCAGCCTGCAGGAAAGGCTGTGGACATCCTTCCGAGCACAACTGCTCTAATTTTAACAGTCCTGGCCTGGATTCTCGCAAGGCAGATCCAACAGCAGTCAGGCCAGATCTACATTTGCCTCTTCCCCAAGTYCTCTTTGGGAAAGTCAAAACATTGACATGTGCAAGAGCTCAACACTTTTCAAGGGGGTATGGCACCATCACAACAAGCCTAGCGGATGGCTTTCCACGCCTTCTGCTGCACAGGAAGGGCCAGAAAGAAGAAAGCAACCATCTTTCCATCCCCATCTCACAACCAAGCAGGAACATGCTAACTTTCCACAAACACTTCCAYCCAAGCCAGGCTCCTTTCTAGCAGGAGGGCTAGAACAATTGATTTAAACAGTTGAATTTTATTAATTGATGTATATATTAAGAAAAGGCCAGATTAGCTCCACCTCTGGCTCTCCCTTTGTCCCCTCACACGTGCCCTGACCCGGCAGAGGAACCAGGCCCTGACTCCGGTTTCCTCTTCTCCTCCGCCCTGCTAACCTGTTGGTGTGCGTGCAGATGAGCACCCGCGCGTTGGGCTGCCTGAGKATCTCCATGGTGGCCATGGCCAAGGTGAACGTCTTCCCCGTGCCGAAAGGGCCGTAGATGAGCAGGGGTGGGATCTGGCGGCTGCTGACCGCTTTGCCTGTGATGAAGGAGATGGCCAGTTTCTGCTTGCTGTTCCCCTTCTGGGACACCTCGAGTGAATAGGGGACGGAACAATCGGCGACATCAGGTAGGACCAGCTTCTCATCCAAGAGGCGGTCAACAGCATGGTGCCACTGGCGGAACAGCAGCCGGTCGATTTGGAACTGGATCTCCACGTTGTGGGAGGTGTCTGGCTTGAAGTCCAGCTCGGAGCAGCATCTCTTTGGTATCTGCAGCCAGATAGTGTTCTCCGTTGTGGCTTTATTCTCCACGCCAACTTCATAAACCCGATTGTTTATTGGGGGGTTAAGTGCCAGATAAGCCGTGGGCACAGACCTGTTCAGCAGATACCCCTCGTCCGTGTCTGGTGAGAGGTTGTAAGGGGTAGGCACTTTAGCAAACAGCTCACCCGACTGGGCAAACTTCATGCCCATAGAAAGGTGTTGCAGCATCGGGGTCAGCAAGATGAAGACTCGGAGGTTAAGCCTGAAAGGTGAGAACATCCAAATTAAGAGAACTGGCTGATGACTTCATCAGTAATTGTCCTCCCTACTGCAGRGAAGCAACTGCCACTTGCGCCCAGGAGAGCCTGCCGACTACCTCAGTTCGGGGACAGGAACCCTGCTTCTACTCAAACCACATCCACGAAGACGCAGCCCTTCCCCACCTCTCACTGCCTGGCAAGACACCTTTCCTGGCAGCTTTCCAATTGCCTGGCAAGGTCCCAAGGTGCTTGAGGAGCCATCCCAGACGAGATGGAAACTAGATCTTCAGGAGCTGCCTGGCCCCAAGGACAGTGTTAGCAAACTGACTTGAGTGAGTCAAACTTGACTGAGCTGGGCCTGTTTAGCCTAGAGAAGAGGGAATGAGAGAGGGAATATGATCAACATGTACAAGTTGATGAAGGGGCAATGTAGGGGGGAAGGGGCCAAGCTCTTCTCAGTGGTGGCCAGTGACAGGACAAGGGGAAATGGGTGCAAACTGCAACAYAGGAAGCTCCATCTCCATATGAGGAAGAACTTCACTGTGAGGTGACAGAGCCCTGGCACAGGCTGCCCAGGGAGGTTGTGGAGTCTCCTTCTCKGGAGGTCTTCAAAACCCACCTGGATGCCACCCTGTGCCGCATGCTCTGAGTGTCCCTGCTTGAATGGGAAGGTTGGACTAGATCATCTCTASAGGTCCCTTCCAACCCTGAACGTTCTGTGATTCTGCGAAAGGGTCTGCGATGCAGAGCTASGAGGAGCCACGTGGACACCCAGCAGGCACTTACTTGGCAATGAGAGCCTGCTCGGCCTCTTCCTCCCTGAAGAGGAAGTCRTGCATCCTCTCCCTATAGGTGAGCCGAGTGATGGGGCCGTTGGCTGCGCCCTTGTGCCGGGCGCTCAGGGAAAGCGCCGGCGCTTTGTATCTGGCCAGCAGATCGACGTCGTCGCTGGTGCGCAGCACGCTGGGGATGACCAYGCGGTTCCCGCTGTGCCACTGCTCGAAGTCCACGGCGCGGCCGCCCTCGCCGCTGCCCGCGCTCTGCCACGGCAGCTCCCGCCGGCCCACCCTGGCCTTGATCTTCCGGATGAGCACGGGGCGGCTGTCGAAGTCAAAGGCCACCCACTGCTCGAAGACGCCCAGCGTGCAGCACTCCATGCACACCTCCACCAGGGAGGTGTTGGGGCACGAGGGCAGCGTGCCCACGAGCTCCCCGCGCACGTACTGCAGGCCCTGCGGGAATCCGTCCACCGAGAGGTAGAAGGAGACGCCGGGCTCCCTCTTCAGCAGCGCCACGTGCTTCAGAGGCATCTGCGGGGGACAGGGCGAGAGGACACCGTGACGCCTCCCTCCTCGGGGGCCGCTCGATGGACCCAGCGGYCCGTGGGATCTTCCCAGGGGCGTTTCCTATTCCCAAGGGCAGAGCACCCCGCCGAGCTCTTGGAATGCACCAGAATGGAACCTACTCCTCGCACGATCCCATAGCAATTACTTTTAAAAGTAACTGTAAAAGTAATTTAGATTTCAGCTGTGTAAGAGACTCTTCCATAAGTGGGAAATCCCGTGAGCTGGCAGGAAAGTCAGACCCGGCCCCTTGTCCCCGGCTCCCAACACACTCCAGCAGGAGGGTGACCGAATCCTGCTCTTTCTGACCACAGCCAGGACATGTTGAGAGCAGCTGGGCACCCACTGGGGACTCAGGGCACGAGAAGAGACAGGGGACTCAGGTGACAAGTCRGGTGAGGACCCCACGCAGCCCCCCAGACCCACGGAGCTGAGCTTACTTGGGAGTGAACTCGGAATTTCCACCGGTATTTCATCCTCCTGTCCTCGGAATGCACCTGCAAGGGCTGCTCACAYGTGGCCCGAACGCCGTCGACGTGCTCAGACATCTACAGGAGGCACAAGAGGAGCGGGGGGATGAGGACAATGCTCCGGGGACAAACTGCAGAGCCCTGACATTCCCTCCCCGGGTTCTCACCCCAGAGACCTCCCAGATCCGGAGCACCCCACGCCGGAAAACCGAGCTGCTTCCCTCCCTTCRGCCAGCACTTACGATGAACACCTCGTTGGAGGATTTCTGGTACTCGTCGATGAGGCGGCTCTGGTAGGACACGAGCCCGTCCTTCAGCGCCTGCTTCTTCTTCCTCGTGGCAACCTTCACCCTCTGGATCCACTCCTGCAGCTCCTCGGCCGAATGCGCCTTGGTGCAGCCGTCGCCGAACTCGCACACGTCCACCCTGCGAGGGGAGAGAAGCCGTGGGGCTGYGAGCGGGGCCGGGCAGCGCCGACACCCCCAGCGCGGGGCTGCCGCTCGCGCCTACCTGCTGCACAGCGAGAAGGTGGCGAGGCCGAGCGGCGGCGCGCGGTGCGCCCACTGCACCGTGCCGTCGGCCGCCAGCATCTGCGCGTGCTCCAGCGAGGCGCAGTGGCTCTCGAAGGCCTCCCGCGAGCCGAAGGTGACGAGGCAGACGCGGCAGTAGAAGTGGAGCGTGGYGGCGGCGGCGGGCGGCGCGCGGCCCTCGGCGGCGGGCGGCAGCAGCTCGGCGCGCGCCAGCCCGCGCTCCCGCTCGGCGCGCCACACGGCCAGCTCCACGTCGCTGTGCGCGTAGTTGCAGCGGCGCGGGCTGTGCTTGCAGGGCTCGCCGCGGCTCACGTAGCGGCAGTAGGTGAGCGCCGGCACGAACTCGGGGCAGGGGCGCACGGCCGTGTACTGCCGCCGCCGCCGGCTGTCCGACACCACGTGCACCAGCAGCGGCTCCCAGGCGCCGTGCTGCTCGCAGAGGCGCGCGGGGCCGCCCGCGCGGATGCGCTGCGGGCTCCCGAAGAAGCAGCGCTTGCAGATCTCCTGGAAGCAGCCGCCGAACTCGCTGCGGATGTCGGCGGCGGCGCCGGGCGCCTCGGGCGGCTCGCCGGCGCCGGGGCAGGCGGCCAGCTGGGCGCGCAGCACGGCCGCCTTCAGCGCGCGCCGCTCCAGCTCGTGCTCGCGCTCGAAGTTCCACACGAGCGCCTCCTCGGCGCTCCAGGCGAACGTGCACAGGCCCTTGTGCTTGCTGCAGCCCAAGCCCAGCACGTAGTAGCGGCACACGGCGTAGCGCGCCGGTGTGGGGAAGCCGGGCCGCCGCGACACCTTCCTCCACGCGGCGCTCCTCTTGCTGCGGCGCCGCGCCAGCAGGATCTCGTGCATGCAGCGGTGCTCCACATCCTTGAGGCGGTAGGTGATCTCGTTCTCCTTCACGCTGCACTTGGAGCACACCAGGCACAGCTCCAGCTGCYGCCGCAGGCTCTCCAGCGGCACCGAGAGCCCGTTGGCCACGGGCATCGTGGGGGCGGCCGGGCGGTATCCGCGTGGAGAATTCCTACGGGTGGCTGATGCCGGGCTCCRGAGGCGCCATGGAGCGGCTGCGTCCTAGCGGGCTACGTCGCTGCCGCCCATGGGTGCCCRCTCGCAGGGCCTGGCAAGAAGAGGAGCGAGCTGGTTAGCGGGAAGCATGAGCCTCTCCCTTCGCTGCAGACACTCGGGGACGTCCTGGTGCTTGCCGCGAGCACCAGGAGCCGCAGCAGGAAAGGCAGCAGAGCCCAAGTGGGAGCAAGAGGCTCGGGGACCCGCTCATCGGCCACGAACCGGGCACGGCGCCGAGCGGAGCAGCCTCCTCCAGCCCCGGCTGCTGACCCGGCTTCCTCTGCCCTTCCCTTCCCCACTTCCTCCTGCCGCCAACTTCTCCTTTCTCCTTTCCTGCTGTCTGTCCTCAGCCCTTCCTCTTCCTGGGACTCGGCGGGGCAGCCCCGGAGGGAAAACCCCAGGCCAGGCAGCCTCTCCGCCCCTCGTTGGGGGAACCCCCAGGATCACCAACACGACAGTCCCTTGGTGCTCCCGCACGGGCACCGATGCCCACATCGTGTGCAGGGGCAGTGTTTTGGTCCCCACCTCATTGCTGGACCCGCTGCAGCCAGCCCAGGAGCTCCGAGCGCCAACACGGGGCTGCGATGGGTCGGGAGCATTTTGCAAGCAGCTCCCTGCCGCCCCAGGGCTGGCAGCACCCTGGCAAAGGGCTTTAGCTCCTCATTCCAACAGTTGTTTGCCCACCCGTGGGGCAGTCGGCCTGAAGCAGGAGCTGCTGCTCCAGCAGTGGCTGCAGATGCAGCCGGGGCAGCAAAGCACCGAGCCGAAACATCCCGAGGGAACAGCCCCGCGCCACGGCGCGCATTGGGACCTGCTGGCACCACGTCCCCGTGTGCCCTTGGCCACCAAGCCAAGGAAGAGGCCACCTCCTCCCGGCTCCCGCGGCTGGGGCGCTCGCCGTCTTCCCGGGTCCGGCAGAAATCCCGGCTCCGCGCAGCGCCGCCGCCTTGCTCGGAGCGCGCGGGAGCAGCGCGCGGGAGCAGCGCTGCCGTCCCTCTCCGGAGATCCAGTTCGCTGTGCCGCGGCTGCAGGGCTCCGGAGCGAGCGCTAGCTCAGCCCTGACTCAGCCCTGCCTGTTTACTCAGGGCCCTGCTGAAGGCCCTTGCAAGGGGAGGCCGCGCCGGCCGCGGTCGCACCCCCTGCCCGGGCTCCGTGCATCGCCCAGACCCACGGAACGAGGGGCAGGACCCCCTGCGCATGCAGTGTCACCCCGCACAGCGTCACACAGTCCCAAACGTGGCACCTCAACTGCTGCGGAGCTGCTGGCTGCGAAGCCGCCAGTGCCGAGGACGGCAGCGATGCCCGGCGGGTGGCCGAGCACTGCGTGCAAGGGGACGGGTTGGCCACGGGGGCTCCTTAAGGCAGAGAAAGAGCATTTGTGCAACCGGCAGCTGCCCAGCACGTTGCACGGATGTGGACACGCTTTGGGGCACACCGGTGGCAGGTTCGGGCCGTTTGCTGGTGCTGCAAGCACGGAGAGCTGTATCTCTGCTGGAGATGCTGAAACTCAAGCCCAGTTTTAACCAAATCCAGCAACAACCTGTGAGCTGCGGGGGAGCTAAAGGACACAGCAGAGGTGTAGCCTTTATTGTTTTGCAAAAGCGGCCAGAAACCCCCGGCCATTGGGAACCACGGCAGCTGCTCCAAGAGAAATGCTCCGTGCCAGAGCCCGGCTCCCGGGAGGGCGGGATGGGGAAAAGAGGGAGACTTGTCCTCTCCATGGGACAAGCACCGCAGCCCCCGCAATGCAGGGATGACCTGCTTCCCTGCGGGAGCCGCTGGCTTTGCCGGGCAGGCAGGGAGCCCCAGGAGGCTCCCGGGAGCAGGAGGGCACCGCGGCGCGAGYGGAGCTCTGGGCAACGCGGCCAAGCGCTCCCTCGGGCACAGCCCTGCTGGCAACTCAGGCATCCAATATCCGTGTGTCCCCGCTTGCCTAAAGCTCCAGGGCCACCGCGCACGTCCCGCTGAAACCAGGGTCCAGCTGGGGACATCGCATGGTGCCGGTGCTGGGAAGAGGAGGAGGAGGAGGATTCCCTCTCCAAGCTGCTCCGTAGGGCACAACGCGGTAACCGCCGCCGCTTCCCAGGAGGGTTTTTATTTCCACCCTTGCCCAGGCAACGCCGGCGCGTTGCAGACGCGGCGCTGGGTTCCTGGAGCCATCCCCGCTCCCGCGGGGCCGGCGCTGCTGCCCCTGGAGCRCGGCCAGGAGCAGCGCCCGCATCCAGGAATCCCGCGCTGGCAGTGCCGCACTCGCCCTTGGAAGCCGGCGGGGCCGGGACCTGTTCCCGCACGCTGCCGAGGCGGCGCTCGCACTTCTCCAGTATCCACAGCTTGGAGAAATCCTCCTTTTCCCTCCAAAAGCAGAGTTTCCCCTTCCTTCCTTTGGAGGACTCYTCCCTAGGGCCCCTAGAAGGGCCAGGAGCCCTAGTCTTTCCCTAGAGGAAAGGACTCCTCCGTTTGGGATTTGGGCAGCATCTGGCACAGTGGAAACACAGCCGCCGATGAGAGCTCCAAAACACCCCACTGCGCGAAACGGAGAGGGCGGAAAGGGCTCCCCGGTGCTCAGTGCACCGAGCTGAGGAGCCAGCGCTCGTGTCTAGTGTGCCAAGCGCCACGGAGCGCGGGCGCCGCTGCAGAGCACACGCAGCCCTGCGCCCCACGCAGCCCCACAGCACTAATGCAGCCCCACGCAGCCCTAATGCAGCCCCACTGCAGCCCCACAGCCCTAATGCAGCCCCACTGCAGCCCCACGCAGCCCTTCTGGGCCGCCACTACAGGCAGAACAGGGCGGCCTGGCCACTGCTGCTCTCACACCGACGGCAGGATGAGCCAAGGTGAAGCCACGAAGGAGCAATTTTTAGCCTTTGAGTCAAACCTGGTACTACTTTGTCTAAGGAACTACTGGAGCAAGCTCCCAGTACAGACCCTCTGCCCCRGTCAGCACGTAGGAGGCAACTGCAGGGGAACTGTAAAACTCCTCAAATCTCCCCGGAGCAGCAGCACGAAAGGCAGCTCTCCCCACAAACAACTACAAAACATCTCGATYGGGAGAGAAAGGGAAAGAAGGAAAACGCTCATGCTCTGCACAAGTCCGAGGCAGAGCCTGGCGTTCCAAGCTCCTGGGAGCCGGGTGCTGGGCGAGGGGAGTCTCCTGCAAAGAGCAGCCGTGCATCAAAGCGGCAGCTCGGCGCTCGCCTGCAGAGGCTCTGGCTCCCCGGGCTGGATCCCGGCCCCTCGCGAGCTGCTTGGCCCCTCAGGGACCCGCTGCCCCCGGCGAAGCCTTCGCTGCAGCCCAGGCAGCCGGGCAGGACGTCGGCCCGCGGCCTCGCGGCAGCTCCAGCCTCCATTAATTATTGACACGAGCTTGCGCAAGGCAGCGAGGGAGAGAGGCGGTCAGCGGCCCGGGAGCGGCCCCGGCCCCGTTTCGGCTGCGGCGCTCGGAGCAACAGCGCAAGCATCTCCGAGCAGCTCCGGTGGGACCGGGCTGCAGCACGAGGGGCTGTGCCGCGGGAAGCATCGCGCCGGCTGCTCCCCGCTGCTCCCTTCCCACCTTCACCAGGTCCCTCGGGCATCTCCCGGCTCCGGCAGCTCCCTCTCTCCTCGCCCCRGGCCTGCTGGATGAGGCGATGGCTCCTGTTCGGAAGGAGCCATCCTGGCAGCCCGTGCCGGGCCCGGGGAGCGGACACGATCCGGCCGCTTTGCAGCGGGAAGGAAGAGCTGTGAAGCCGCTGCCGGCGGCACTTCCCTGCGCGCGGCGCCCGGGACGTGTCCGTGCGGAGCGCCCGGCACCGGCAGCCGCCACCAGCACTCGGCTGCTGCAGCAAAGTCTGCAGAGAGCCCCTGACCGCATCCCCCATGTCCCGCAGCGCCCCAGGCCGCGCTGCACCCCTGGGTGCCCCAGGCCCCGGAGCACCTCTCTGTGCCACAYGGCTCAGGGCGCATCGGGCCGTGCACCCAGTTGGTACCCTAAAACCTCTCGATGTGCCCAGCATCCTGCAGCACCCAGGGCCCCTCCTGCACTCCCAAAGAGCACCCTGTACCCCTGCAGCATCAYGTACCTTGGAGCACCCCAGGGCATCCTGCAACCCTGGAGCACCCTGCAAACTTGCAGCACCCCATACCCCGGGGCTCCCAGGGCACCCTACATCCCCAGAGCATCCCACACACCTGCAGCTSCCAGTCTCTGCAGCACCCTAGGGCATACCCTGCATCCTTACAGCACCCTACAACTCGCAGCACCCCAGGGCACCCTGCAATCCTAGAGCACTCTGTGAACTTGCAGCACCCCAGGACATTCACCCTGGAGCACCTGGTCCCCACAGCACCCCAGGGCACCCTGGAGCACCCTGCATCTCCGCAGCCCACCAGGGCATCCTGCCACCCTGGGGCACCCCAAGGCACCCTGCATCCTTGCAGCCCCCCCAAGGCATCCTGCATCCTTGCAGCACCCTGCATCTTTGCAGCACCCCAGGGCATCCTGCATCCCTGCAGCACCCCAGGGCACCCTGCCATCCTGGAGCACCCTGCATCCTTGCAGCACCCCAGGGCACCCTGCAATCCAGGAGCTTCCCGCTCCTCTGCAGCTCCCGCTCCCCGCCGCACCCCAGGGCGCCCCCGCATCCCGCGGCGCCCCGCACCGGGAGCCCCCCGCGCCCCCCGTACCGCGCCGCCGCCGCCGCCGCCGCGTTCGCTTCTGGGCCCTCCCGCGCTCAAACCGGGGCCGCACTTCGCGGAAATTGCATCACGGCGGCCCCGCCCCCCCCGCGCCACCGGCGGAGGGGGGGGGCAGCGGGGGAGCCGGCGGCGGCACCGGGGGGGCGGTTTCCCCCTCCCCGCGCCCCTCACGCCGGTATCGGCTCCGCGCGCGGGGCCGGGGCCGCCGCCGCCCCCCCGGGGCCGGGACCCGCTTCCCCCCCGCGAGAGGGGGGCGACGCCGGAGCCCCCGCTCTGCTCCCCGCGCACGGGGGCGGCCCCCGCCCGGCACCCCGGCTGTTGG